ACCACATAGCTTGCACCGCGTAGGATCTCCTTTGCGAAAGAATATTGACTCCACCACCAAATCAGAAAGAACAAAATCTGCTCTGCAGCGGGCGACGACCACTTACTACTGAAGGATTGTGCAAGTAAGTCTGTTTTTTAGGAACTGGATAGAGCCCAACTCCCGTTTTCCTTCTTCAAAGGCGAGCTCCATCTCCCCGGGTTATCGCGCCCCCCCATAAGACATTTAAAATTACATGAGCTTCTGCCTCGTCGTCCAGTCTCCATATGAGCGCATACCATCCCAGCCAGGCCGGGCATCGCAGCCACCCCCCTTGTCCGTCAGATGACAGCATGCGCACACACTCGTCCATCACAAAGAACAGGTTTGTCAATGACTATTGTGCAACCAAAAAACACACGCGGGCGCACGTAAAAGTCACACCAAACAAACACCAGTTTCGCAGCCGGTCAACATGATGGCATCAAAAAGCCGTGGGCGCATCATTACAAATCACACTCACGCCACATGCTGAAATCGCATGGAACCCTGAAATGGCGTCTCACCACGTGATACATCCGCGTTGGCCGAACTTGCGCCCAGCGCACGAATCCACGTCAAAGATCTCCATGCTGGCCACACGCGCGCGCCGCCACGCGCGCGTGTCGACACATTGCTGAAAACATCGGTTGCCGAAGCATGTCAAAGTAGAGACCTCGGAAAATATGGCAAACCAAATCTCCTTCACCAGACAAACGGCCAGATGTATTGCATTTCCGCACGCACACTTCTTCACCATCACCCTCGTCAACGCCACCGCATCACCGCCCATACCGTCATCGCCAATCGCCGCCATTGCCACCACCATCACTCAATGACCTCCATCACCGACACATGGACATCATCATCGTCATCGTCATCACTAGCATCGGCGGTGTCATTAATCCTGCCGTCGTCATCGTTAAGGTCGCTACCACAATCGCTACCATCATCATCATCACCATCAGCATCACCACCACCATCACCATCACCATTAGCATCAGCATCATCATCCTCATCCTCATCCTCATCCTCATCCTCATCCTCATCCTCATCCTCATCCTCATCCTCATCATCATCATCATCATCATCATCATCATCATCATCATCATCATCATCATTGCCGCCGTTGCCGACCTCACAATGATACAGCGCCCGCCCGAATCAACGACCCGCACTGAAGTGCCCGCGCGCCAGCATGGCATATGAGACGCGCTGGGAAATTCACATCGGTAAGCGCCATCGCGGCCGCATTGGTTGTGCCAAACCAGGCGGCCGCTCTGCGCGCAGGCTTGCGCGCGCCAGCGCAGCCATAGAGATGCGCCAGCCAGTGAAGAGTAGCCACCGCAATCGCGGCCGCATTGGTTGTGCAAACCAAGTTGCGGATGGAATGGTGGGATGGTTGCGCGAGCAGTGAAGCTAACAACTTCAACTGCTGCACAGTGGTTTACACCGCATTTATTGCATCACATAGGTTACACCACATACCTTGTGCTACATAGCTTACAGGTCCCCAGTCCAATACCTTATTATTTGGGGTCCCCGTTGGCAGACATTGGTCTTCGTCCGGTTATTACAACGTGTTCGATTTCCGCGCTCTTCGGTCGAAGATCCATCCACCTGCAGTTCCGAGGGCCCTAAGCGGCCCACTAATAACCCCAAGCGGGCCCCAAACCAGCCCAGAACAGGCCCAAGAGAGCCCCAAGTGGCCCAAGTTGGCCTAAGAGGGCCTGTGGAGATGCCAATGGCGGACTCAAGGGCCCGTGGACGGCCCAAGAAGGCACCAAACCAAGACGGCCCCAAGTCGCTAAGAAACGGAGCACGCCCCCCACTGGAGCTCCGTCAGTACATCCCGCCACCGTGTCTCGCTCGTGGGTCGGAGGCTTGTCTGATGTCTCTCGAGTCCTCTTGGGAAGTCCCCCTGGGGCCTATTGGATGCTTATTGGGGGCCTCCTGGGAGCGTCATGGAGAGTCTTGGGGGCTCTGTGGAGCCTGCCCTCTTGGGCCGTCTTGGGGGTCTCTTGGGCTATCTTGAAGCATCTTGTGCCGTCTTGGGACGCCCTTTTTGACTTCCGTCATGCGCAAAAGTGTGAACGAAGTCTGTGGGTACGGATGCCCGCGCACAGGCCCCTATAGAGGGAAGTCGGACTCGCTGAGCAGGAGGAACAATGTGAATTAATCGCTTTGCATGGGACACAGAAGGACGTGCCGGCTGCAAGAGCCGTAAAGCAAGCTTAAGCGAAGGTTCCCTCTGCAATCGAGACGGCCGATGAACCACCGCTATACCAGTGGGCGGGCGTCTTCTCTAGATTCATCTTCTCCGTGCACCCAGGCGCGGGCGTGCTCACGTCGGTGTGGTCGTCTTCGCCCAGAAGACCTCCGACAGCAAACCCCGCCCGTCCTAAATGCTTCACGTACACGTTCAGGTACGACAAGCCGCCGTCCGTGTGACCACGAAAGATCTTCAGCTCGACATGACCGAAAGCAACCCACTTCGGACCCTCGACATCATTCTGCGACACGCTGTAATGAAAACCTCCGGCTTGTTTTGACTCTGCCCAAGACCCCGTAATGTTCTAGCCTCGGAAATACATATCCGTGCACTGTCTACCCAATCGGCGCGCATCGGCTTGCACGCGAAGTAATGCCTTCTTAGCGCGCACTCCACGAGGGATGTTGATTAGAACATGGCTGCCTGGAACCATCAGATCGAACCGCTCGCCATGCACATTCTGCAGATGGGGATCACCAGCGGCCCAACTCGTCGCCACCTCGGTCGGGCTTGGCGTGGGGCTTGGCGTGGGGCTTGGCGTGGGCGGAGACCCAGAGCGTTCAAAGCAGCATGGCCCTGAGGAGCACGTCGTGACAGCAAAGGTAGTCATTGACCCCGTGCCGCTGTGCCCTGTCCAAGTACCACTCCAATCACCTGGCCAAGACGACGACGTCACTCCTGAGGTCGTTGGTGTCACTCCATTCCTCACATGGATATCACATCGCGTTGAGCCAGCCCACGAAATTCCGAGGCACTCGGAAATTTCGGAACATATTTCCATGCACTGGCTAGAAGTAAGCCCATTGAAGAGTATTGATCAGATTCTCCATACTGGCCGGTGCACCATGCAGCGCGGAGGTAAGTGTATTCAAACTCGGCCGTGGAGTCTACAATCCGCAGCTTTGCCACATCTGAACCGTCCTGCCCGAGCACAGGCACCTCCATGAGCCGCATGTCGGCGTCCACAGTTGAAGCGAGCGCAGCGGCCGTCGCCAAGGTCAGTTTGTGTGCCATCCGTGGGTGGACAACAGCTTGGAAGTGTAGCAGTAGATGTTCAGTTCTTATGCGGGAATACGAAGCGTCCACCTCGCAACCCTGGAGCCAGAATGGCTGCGGACCGTCTTGGAACGCTCTTGGGGGGGTCTCGGGGCCCTTGGAATTCACCTTGGGGCACTCCTTGGGCTTCTCTGAGGGAGTTCCCGCACCTCTGATCCGACCTTCCCTGGGGGAGCCCTGCCAGGACCTGCCCAGGAGAAGGAGGAGGAGGAGGAGGAGGAGGAGGAGGAGAAGGAGGGGAGGGAGGGAGGAGGAGGAGGGGAGGGAGGGAGGGAGGGGGAGGAGAAGGAGGAGGAGGAGGGCACTTTGCCTCTGGGGACCCCCCCAGGGGCCGCCCCGGGCCTGCCTTCTGCCCGACGGGTCGGCGAACTGCGATGGCGTTGGCTTCCCACGCTCGTCCGTCCAGATTCGGTCAACCTGCGGCCTTCGGGGGTCCCTCCTCCTCCCTCCTCCTCCTCCTCCTCCTCCTCCCTCCTCCTCCTCCTCTCCTCCTCCTCCTCCTCCTCCTCCTCCTCCTCCTCCTCCCCCCTCCTCCTCATGGGGGCCCACTGAGAGCCCAGCCCGAGGAGGGCCCCTGGTCGGCAACGAGAGTGCCCAAAACTGGCCCGAGTTGGGCACCTAGGCGGCCCCGCCAGCGGCCCCAAGCACAAAGCATATGCTCGACAGTCCCAACGTACCTCCAAAGAGTTCCCAAGAATCTCCAAGACGCTGTCCATGGAGACCTCGAGGCCACGAATCTAAATCTCCTTCTCGTCATTGAAATGCATTTCGTTTCCCAGGCTTCGGTCGAAGGTCGGTCCACGTGCGGTTTCCGAGGGCCTCCAGAGAGCGCTCAGCAGGAGAAAGAGGATAGACCGATGCTGCACGATAGCTGAGGTTGACTGGTCGCACGAATGGGCGGGCGTGAACCTCTTTCTTATGAGCGCACGGGAGTGCGACACGACGAAGCTTGCTCATGGAGGCCAGCCTTGAACGCCCGCGCCAGCGTCGAGGTGGCGCTCGCTGGCAACAGATGGCACATCCCGCCCTGTCCCTTGGGAGAAATCGGCCTCCTGAGCTCCCCTGGAGCGCGGTCCGACGAGAAGTCGTAGGCCGAATCGGCCATGGCGACGAGGCCCCCCCAAAAGGCCCAAAAATAATGAAAGCACCAAAATCCCACCCAGTCGCCGAGGAGGAGGAGCGGGAGGAGGAGGAGGGACCCCAGGACAGGCCCAGGACAGCCCAAGGAGTCGAGGACGGCGATCAACCCGACGACCACGACAACCACGACGACCACGACGACGCCGCCGCCGACGACCAAGACGAAGACCACGATCACGAAGATTGCGGCCACGACGACGACAACGACGACGACGACGACGACGACGACGAACGCCGCCACCACCACCACCACCACGACAACGGCGACAACGAAAACCGCGACGGAAACGACGACGAAAACGACGACGACGACGACGGCGACGACAACGGCGACGACAACGACGACGACGACGACAATCGCCACCACCAGCGGCGAAAACGAAAATCGCGACGGCAACGACGGCGACGACGACGACGACGACGACGACGACGGCGACGACGACGGCGGCGGCGGCGGGCACGGAGGCGCCGACGGCGGCCGCGGCCGCGGCTGCGGCGACGACGGACGACGATCCTTCTGCTGTGCCTCCAGCTCGTTGGGCCCAAACTGGTGCAGTCGCCGGGCGGCCTCGGCAGAGTCCAGGCCGGCGTCCGGGTCGGTGGGCGGGAGGTCCTCGGCATGTCCAGGGGCCAGGGCGTACTCCTCCTCCTCCTCCTTCTTCTCCTTCTTCTCCTGAGGAAACTTGGCCCCGACCTCGCAAGCAAACGAGGACGCGAGCATGCGACGCAGCTCGGGAGGGCACGCTTTAGTATGTGCAGTGGTCCACCCGCCGCTGCCTTGGACCCCCTGCAAGGTAAGGCGCTGCTGCTCCCTGGCACATTAGCAACCCCCATACTATGAATTGGTGGCAGCCTGCACGGCTGGGGCATGCGCACACAATAACAATGTGCGCTTGAGCGCCTGAGACTGGACTTGGCACTGGTGCACGTCCACCTTCCTAACACACGCATGCGACAGCAGCCGAGTGATCTCAGGAAGGAGCCCAATGGACGGGGCGTTGGACCTGTGGCTGTCGACCGGATGCTCATCCTCCTCCTCCTACTCCTCCTACTCCTCCTCATCCTCCTCCAGGCGCAATGTTATGATCATATAGGTCCAAGAAGGTGCCCAGCGAGATCGCCGCTTTGTGCTTAATAATAATACTAATAATAATAATAATAATAATAATAATAATAATAATAATAATAATAATAATAGTAATAGTAATAGTAATAATAATACATTAACATACATATATGTGTACATAAAATAATAACAACAACACTAATACTATTAATAATAATAATCATAATCATACTAATAATCATAATAAGAATAAGAAGAAGAATAAGAATAATAGTAATGATAGCAATAATAATAATAGCCGTAGTAGTAGAAAAACAAAAAAAGCCAGGGCACCGTTCTGAAAAGGAAACGCCCTCCTTCCGTGCAGATGGTCGCTAACTTATCAAAATGAACTCTAAACGAAAACCGAATTTGAACACGGAAACATCCTCCACCCCTGTACTTGCTGCAAACGCTGAAAACAAACGTACGCGCGTGAGAGTCCCGCTTTGAAAACAACCTGTGCTCCATCCTCGCGTATGCTCAAGAGGTTTGAGACGCATGTGCGGCGATAGGGCGAGTCCCATTTGGAAAACCACCTGTGCTCCATTGATGAAGCGAATGTACTCTGCGCTGACCTGAGAGCCCCATTTTGAAAAAGGAAACCCCCTCCAGCGTTGAGCCTGCTGCAGACGAAGGACACAAATGCGCGCGGGACTAAGGCGAGCGCCCCATTTTGAAAGCCACCTCTGCTCCATCCTTGTAATTATTGCAAGCGCTGAGAACGAAGGCGAGGAGGAGGAGGAGCAGGAGGAAGAGGAGGAGCAGGAGGAGGCGGAGGAGGAGGGATGAGGAGGAGGCGGGAGGCTCGATCGGAGGATGACGAGGAGGAGCAGGAGGAGAAGGAGGAGGAGGAGGAGGGAGGAGGGAGGAGGGAGGAGTGAGGAGGGGAGGAGGAGGAGGAGGAGGAGGAGGAGGAGGAGGAGGAGGAGGAGGAGGGAGGAGGGAGGAGGGATGGAGGGAGGGGGGATGGAGGGAGGACGGAGAGAGTAGGCTCGATCGGCGGCCGCTGGAGCCCGTCGCCGGGAGGGCGAGCGGGGCCCATCGGCGGGGCGCCCTACTGGGGCCCCGGCGTCCAGCGAGGCCGCCTCGGGCTTCTCGGCGTCGCCGCGGCTCGCCTGCGCTGGGGGGAGGGGGGGCCTTCCGAGCTTGCTTTGCACTTGTGTTAACGACGCTCCCCGGATCAGCTCGCAGGCAGCACGTCAGAATGTCTGCCGTATGACACGCGGAACGTTCGAGGCGCAGTAAAGCTTTCGGACGACCTGTCAGGTGGAGCGAACGCTCCAAGTGTTACGCAGTTCGGCTGTGTCTACGTGCTGCTGAAATCAACAGAACCTTGCTTCGTATTGAATTCCCAAAAGGTTGTTCGCCGTTGTCGCAGTTTTCTGAAGTTGCTCCACTCATTCGGCTTCTAGGAGCCCTCGCTGGGCCACGGGACCGTCAGAGAACGACACAGGATGGAAAGCTGGCCCTGGGGAGGGGGTCAAGCCTCCCGAGGACCCCACATCGAAAGGAAAGACAAAAAACACTCTAATTAGCCTGGCGAAGAACCCAACCATATGCAGTTGTCAGTACCGCAGCTGCGGGTTTCATCTTCAGTGGAACTCCCCACAGGACTACGGAACGTGTGAGGGGTGTGCCGAGATGGGTGCCACTGGGGCATTCGGCGAAGCTCCCTATGGGGACATGAAACACGCGCGGGGCGTGCCGATATGGGTGGCGGAAACGCATGTGAGGGCCGCCACTGGGGCCTCCAGTGGAGCTCCCTATGGGTCCCCGAAACATGATGCTGCTGCGGGGGGGGGGGCCAGGATGGGTGGCGGAGACGCATGTAAGCGCCGCTACTGGGGCCTTCGGTGGAGCTCCCTATGGGGCCACGAAGCGCGTGAGGGGTGTACTGGGATGTGTGGCGGGGACGCATGTGAGCGCCGCCACTGGGGCCTTCGGTGCAGCTCTCTATGGGGCCACGAAACGTGTGAGGGGTGTGCCGAATTGGGTGCGGGTGGTGACGCATGCGGGCGGTGCCACTGGGGCCTTCGGTGGAGCTCCCTATGGGGCCACGAAACCTGTTGTTGTGAGGGGCGTGCCGGGATGGGTGGCGGGGACGCATGTGAGCGCGGCCGCTGGGGCCTTCGGTGGAGCTCCCTATGGGGCCACGAAACGTGTGAGGGGTGTGCCGAATTGGGTGGGTGTGGGTGACGCATGTGAGCGCCGCCACTGGGGCCTCCGGTGGATGATGGGGCCACGAAACCTGTCAGGGATGTGCCGAAATGGGTGTGCGGGACGCATGCGCATGTGAGCGCCGCCACTGGGGCCTTCGGTGGAGCTCCCTATGGGGCCACGAAACGTGTGAGGGGTGTGCCGAATTGGGTGTGCGTGACGCATGCGGGCGGCAGCACTGGGGCCTTCGGTGGGGCTCCCTATGGGGCCACGAAACGTGTGAGGGGTGTGCCGAATTGGGTGTGCGGGACGCATGCGGGCGGCAGCACTGGGGCCTTCGGTGGGGCTCCCTATGGGGCCACGAAACGTGTGAGGGGTGTGCCGAATTGGGTGTGCGGGACGCATGCGGGCGGCAGCACTGGGGCCTTCGGTGGGGCTCCCTATGGGGCCACGAAACGTGTGAGGGGTGTGCCGAATTGGGTGTGCGGACGCATGCGGGCGGCAGCACTGGGGCCTTCGGTGGGGCTCCCTATGGGGCCACGAAACGTGTGAGGGGTGTGCCGAATTGGGTGTGGGACGCATGCGGGCGGCAGCACTGGGGCCTTCGGTGGGCTCCCTATGGGGCCACGAACTTTGTGGGGCTCCTATGGGGCCACGAAACGTGTGAGGGGTGTGCCGAATTGGGGTGCGGGACGCATGCGGGCGGCAGCACTGGGGCCGTCGGTGGGGCTCCCTATGGGGCCACGAAACGTGTGAGGGGTGTGCCGAATTGGGTGTGCGGGACGCATGCGGGCGGCAGCACTGGGGCCTTCGGTGGGGCTCCCTATGGGGCCACGAAACGTGTGAGGGGTGTGCCGAATTGGGTGTGCGGGACGCATGCGGGCGGCAGCACTGGGGCCTTCGGTGGGGCTCCCTATGGGGCCACGAAACGTGTGAGGGGTGTGCCGAAATGGAGGATGATGACGATGATGATGGTGGGAGGAGGGAGGGGGGAGGAGGGGGAGGAGAAGCGGGAGCGTGAGCGGGCGCTCTCTCTTCAAAACGAGGACCCAACACCACAGGATGGTTGGGAAATATCAATAAACATAAAAACGTCGGAGCACGGGGACCGTCACAGACCGATCCAGCCTAAGAGATGCCGCAGAAAAAGTCGGGTCTGAAGATCTGGTCGTGATCTTTCACGATGCTGCGACTTTTTCTCCACGCCAGATCTCAATATTTTTGACCCCTGGGTCCCTCGCCGGGATCCGGGACCTTCAAAAAACTGCCTGGGATGAAAAAACGGTCCCCAGGGAAAGGTCCACACCTCTGGGGAGCCAGCCATGGAAAAACTCATGACATCGGGGGTCTGGGAAGTTTGCTCACGTGCGGAGAGGGGGCGGGGCTCTCTGGCGAGCCCCATGCAGGAAAACTGGATACCCCAGGCCGAGAATTGCGCCGCGCTTTTCCGGTCCAGCACCAGAGGAAGAGGCGGCGAGGGGGGGGGGCAACGCCACGAAAGCAAACGTGGCAGAATCTCACTGAATCTCACTGAGAAGGAAGCTCTCTCTCTTTTCCCAGACCCTGCTGGGTCATGAAAAATCACGACGGGAGGTTTTGCGCTCTTTTTGGCCCCTGGGGGCCCCTACCGGGCCTCGGGACAATCAAAGAACGACTCGGGATGGAAAACCGGCCCCTGGAAGAGGGTCGAAACCTCAGGGGATCGATATTACGAAAAAGTCATGACGACAGGGGTCTGTGTGTAATGCTACAGTCGGACCAGGGAAAATGAACACCGTTCAAGAACATGAAACCCTCCGCCGGCCATGCTGAAGAACATTCGGGGGTACCCTCGCCCAGGATGCACCAGAACGCCCAACAAACTTTTCGCGCCGCAGCGCGGCAGAGGCAGTCCGCACGCGCGCTCAAGCGGACCAGGAAACGACAGACACTATGCAACTGCCCATCGGCAAGAGGGGGGTGAGAAAGGCGCAAGCGGCCGCGGAGGTGGGAAAAGGGGGGGAGAGCACTCACAGGGCGAGACGCATCGCGAGGTGCACGCCCAACGAACTCGGAGACTTTTGGGGCACCCTCATCGAACCGACCTCGACCCAATACCTCGGCCCGACGGTACGGGACTTAGGTCGGGCATGTCCTCCTACAGGCGGACCTTTGGAAGAAAGATAAACAACTGTCACAAAATACTCCGAAATAGTCCCAACAAAATAGACAAGTTATCCCAAAGGCTATTTGTTGATTGTTTTGGAATACTCCTCCTGTAGAGGGACATGCCCTACCTAACACAGGACTGCCAAGTTGGCCCTCGAGGGTCGCGGGGGGGGAGGCTCTCTCGGACGCTCTTCTGGCCCTCCTCTTGGGGCCTCCCCGGAGGGGAGGGGGGAGGGCCACTTCTCTGGTTGACCCAAAAGGGTTCCAGCGACAAGGTGGTGGTGCAATAGATTTGGTGCAATAGATTTTTGTGGGGTGGGGTGCAGTAGATTTGGGGTGTGCAATACATTCCGGTGCGCAAATGTATTGCTCGGCTTTCGCGAGCAATACATCAGTTGCAATACAATGCAATACAATTCGATACAAGTCTCTGGCACAATGCAATAGCAATACAATTGCCCAAAATGTGTTGCACCAGTCCCTTTCAGCTGGACCCACTTTTGGATCACAAGGAGCTTCTTAGCAAGACACAGCGAGGACGAGGACATAACGAGTTTGGGTGTTGCAAAAAGTGCCCCTGGCCCAAGCTGCCCCCAGGATTCCCCAACGAGGCCCCCATGGCCTCCAGAGCACCCCTCACGAGGCCAGGGGGCCCCATGGGGCTCCAAAATGGAGCGAAAAGCTGAGGGCACCTTGGGCCAGGGGCATCTTTTAGCAACCCCCGACGGGTGATGATAAATCGAGAATATCTGAAGTCTGGCGGCTCTGGAGGCTGTCTCGAGCGCCGCGGCCTTCTGAGAGCGTTCCGAAACGCTTTGAAAGCGTCCTGAAGGCCCGGATCGGATCTATTCTCGTCCTGGCCCCACCCGACTTAGATGCCCCGAGCCTCTCGGAGACCTCCTGGGACCTCCAGGGGAGGGGGGGCGGCGCCATTTCTCAGATGCTTCCCCGCCTCCTCTGAGGAGAAGAAGAAGAAGCGTGTTGGGAGGAAGGGGTTGGGAGGATGAAGGGCATGAGCAATAGCATCCAGATGCAATGAACGATACGGGTAAAGATATCCTCATTTCTCCCAACCACATCCTCCCAACCCGAAGATTGTGTTCCTGATCCTCTCGCTGCGAAAAATCATCAGGCCTCCTGTCTTTTTAGGCTGTGTTCGGCGTCAGCTCTGGGGGGCCCCGGCCCCCGTCCGAAAGCAGCTCGGGAGGGAAAACCAGTCCCAGGGAGAGGTGATATAGAGCTCCACGGGACAACGTCGTGAACCAAAAAATGTCGGGACCCAGAAATCCGACGTCTTCATTCTGTAATGCGGAATCCGCGGAAATCTCGACCCACTCCCAGGACCGTTTTCTGACCGTCCCCGTTCCATCGTTTTTTCTTCTCGACCCTCGGCCTTCGGGAGTTGTCCTACTTGCTCCTTTTCTCCCTCGGCCGCGGCAGGTCTGCGCCAGAAAAGGGGGCGCGGGGAAGCGGGAGGGCGACCTTTGAGTAGTGTCGCAATGTCGCTTGCAGGTTGTGATTGCTCTTGTGCTTGATGACTATCCCTATACACAAATCTGCAAGTGAGCGAGTAAAGAAAAGACAGAAACAAAGATACTGAGAATGCAAAACAGTAAAAGAAAAGGAATGGGAAAATCCTTGATCTTCGACGTTGGAGGAGGAGGAGGAGGAGGAAGAGGAGGAGGAGGATGAGGAAGGACGTTTTTCTAAGCTGTTGCCATGGTGCCTCCTGGGAGAACAGGCCCTCGTGGCCACGGCGGGAGGCAGCTTGAAAAAAATCGTCGGGAAGGTGCCCCAGCAGGGCATGGCGGTTGATGTCCTACCCTCAGGTCGGGCAGGTCCCCCTCCAGGCAGATTTTGGATGATGAAACACAAATACCCCAAAAAAATATACCCCGCCAGTTCTGAAGATTCTGAAGATTCCTCCTGTAGAGGGACGGGCACGACTTAATCCTACCCAGATAAGATGGGCCGACCCAGGCCTCCAGCGTCGAGCTGCCGCGAGGGGGGCATCTGCAAAACTACGGAACATGATACCCAGAATTTCGTAGACGCGACGAACACACCAACTCTGGGATGAATCAGCTCTGCAGTCGACCCCCCTACTCGAAGGAAGGGAAGCGGGGGATTATTCGTTCATGCCCCTGCGCCGGACGGCCCATGGCTCAGGAGCTGTTTTTCATGTATGTCGGCGGTACCCGGTGCGGAGCGAAATCCCCCCCCTGGTAAACTCCATCCTGGGGGGGTTCGAGCCGGCGGCACCGCCAGTGCGAGCCGACACGAAACGCCCCTGCAAGCACGAAACCCAACGGCAGCCTGCACGAACCCCCCCGGTAAGCACGAACCCCCCTGGGTATGCACGAAACCCCCCCGCACGCACGAACCTCCACCCCGATGCGTGACCGCCCCCAGGACGTGCCAGAACAAGGCGGCACCGCTCTTCTGTACGCGGCCGCTCCGTCGACCCGTCCCAGGAGGCTCAGAACGTCCTCTGGGGCAGGTGGCCCACCCGGGAGTGCCTCCTGTTGCCACGTGCCCAGCAATGTCGACAACAGCGCTGCCATTCCCTCCTGCTCCTCCTCCTCCTCCTCCTCCACCTCCTCCTCCTCCTCCTCCTTCTCCTCCTCCTCCTCCTCCTCCTCCTCCTCCTCCTCCTCCTCCTCCTCCTCCTCCTCCTCCTCCTCCTCCTCTCCTCCTCCTCGTCCTCCTCCTCGTCCTCCTCCTCGTCCTCCTCCCCCCTATACCCCACCTGGGGGGTTCTGAGCCGTCGGCGGCACCCGGTGCGGCCTGCACGAAACCCCCCCGTAGTACTGGGGGACGTGGTTCGTGCCACGTGGCACCGCCGACATATATGGATGTTGCTTGGACCGCTCACTCTTTTCCCCCTGCCCCTCGCTTTTGGTCCCTGTCCTGCCTCTGCGGCTGCGTTCAGGCTCCAATTCGAGAACTGCCGGGACCCTAGAATAAAAGTGCTCGCTTCCGCAGTGTCACCATTATTGGTTCGCGGACGGCCACTGACTACGAGCGGTCAATGCGCCGCCTGGCGTGCAGTGGACTGTTTCACCATCTTGCCAATGCACCTCTGACGCGCACTGGTCTTTGTCTCTCTCTCTCTCTCTCTCTCCCTCTACGGGATGTACCATTCCACGGCCGACAAGCGTGTCGTAGGATCTGCGCAAGAAAAGAAAATAAAGAGGGGAAGGTCAGGCGGGGGTCTCCGGTGGGGTCGCTGGAGTCTCTGGGAGGCGGCTGGCAGTTTTTCCAAGTTCTTTGGAGGTCTATGGGGGCAATGTGCGCAGAGGAAGAGGAGGAGGGGGAGGAAGAGGAAGAATCCTGGGAGTACTTCCAACGCTGGTAAACTACACCGTATTACAAGCGACAGTGATTCTGGACGACGTTGCGTCAGGAATGCTGGGTGGGATCTCGCTGCGCTTCTGCACGTAGCAGGCAGACGTAAAAATCAACGCCTGGCCGAGCTACCCGTGACAATGATTACCCGGGCAGATTCCGTACAGAGGAAAGGGAGGAGGAGGGGGAGGAAGAGGAGGAGAGGGGGAGGGCCAATCAGGAGGGGAGATGGAGAGGGAGGGGGTCGGAGAGGAGAGGAGGAGGGAGAGAAGGGGAGGAAGGAGAGGAGGAGGAGGAGGAGGAGGAGGAGGAGGAGGAGGAGGAGGAGGAGGAGGAGGGTGAGGGTGAGGGGGAAACGGCCTTCGGCTCGTCGACTGCTCCGTAGGACTTCTCCGGGACGCCAGGGCCCGCGAGTAGCGAGGACGTGGCGGCGGTCGAAGACGCGGAGCCCATAGTATGAGGCGGACAGCTGCGCCGTCCGGATGGAACGTGAAGATGCGGTCCCGGTTGCGCGAGTGCGCACGAGGAGGGGTGATCCGGAGGGGTTCCAGGAGCACCTGGTGATCGCTCACTCGAGCCGAGTACATGCGAGGGGTCGAGCGATTCCTCCTCCCCCTCCCTCCCTCCTCCTCCTCCTCCTTCTCCTCCTGCGCGGGGAAATTATTGCCCCTACCCTTGTCCAGGATTTTTCGCCGCCCACCGCGGACGTGGGTGATTTGTTACTGCCGCGGCAATGCGGTTCTGTCGACATTGCGGCCGACGCCTGGCAGTGTGAGACCGCTGCGCCCCATAGGCAATGGTTTGAAGAAGTCGTTACAATCAACTGGTCGGCAACGAACGCCTCAAGACTCGTCAGCCTGGATCCCTGACCTATGCCGCGCACCCAAATAACACATACTCCGAGAGCACTGGCCACCTCAAACAGGAGAGGATCAGCCCGCGCAGCAACCCTCCATGGGGAAAACCGACGAAATACTGACCTACCAAATTTTCAAAATTAACCTCACAACGAATCACCCCAAAACGGTTTGGGGATATTTTTGTCGGGTCCAAGTGAGCCGAAAATCTTACCCCCAAACCAGAACACCCCTGGTGCCCTTGGACCTGTGAGCAGCCATGCGTCGAGACACGTCGTGCCGCGTCACCTGCCCAGGAAATGGCTAACGCTGCAAAACCACCGGAAAACAAGGTGGAAAAATTGATCCCCAAACTCGTCCCGCGTCTCCGGCACTCCCAACGTTCGCGCCATTTCATAACTGCGTCTGCTCCTCTCGCCCCAACAGAACGACGATCCCAATCCCAAAACATCAACCAATGAGTTTGGCGAGATGCTCGTTTCCCCAGCGAGGCATGGCATCGCTTCTGCTATGAGCGCACACGGGCCTCGAAAAAATCTACGCACGACCCGCTAGATTTTTTCCCTGGACGGGTTTGGGATAAACCTCCTCCTCCTCCTCCTCCTCCTCCTCCTCCTCCTCCTCCTTCTCCTTCTCCTCCTCCTCCTCCTCCTCGTCCTCGTCCCCGTCCTCCTCCTTGCCCTTGTTTTCCTGATAGTTTCCCCCCTTCCCCTCCACCCGCTGGACGCAGCTCAAAACTGGCTAAGATGGACCCTGGGAGAGGCCTGGGGACAGGTGCAGGACGGAATTGCAGGATCGCAAGGAAGAGGGAAAGGCAGGTAGACTGGAGGGGGAGAGGGAGGGCGAGGGGGAGGAGGACAATAATAATGATGGTGCAGCGACCAGTTTTGGGAAGACAGAGTGGCCAGGAGCTGGCGGGAAGAACGGGAGCGAAAGGAAGAAGATTACATCGCGATGGCACAACGACAAGCACAACGACTTATATAGGCGACAGGCACGGCGAGACGGCGGCGACGACGACGGCGATGGCGACGCCATCGCGACATTGGCATAGACGTAAGACTCGGTTTCGGGGGACTCGGGTTGGTCCTGACAGGGCCGTCAGGAAAATGACGAGACCAAATCTGAAATCTGACGCGAGCTCCCGCTGAAGACGTCCCACGGGGTCAAGATGCGGGACAGGTCCGTGAAGAAGCGCCGGCGAATCCGAGTTCCGGCGAACCCGAGTCTCACGTCTCCCCGAGGCAACACTGCACAGCGGCCCGGACGCCGCGCGCAGGTGCGAAAGTGGCGCGACGGCGGCGAGGACGCACGGCGGGGCGAGCGGGCTGCGAAGACGGCCGCCTTTTCCCGCGCCCTCGCTGCCAAGCACGTGCCGCGGTCGCCGCCCTCTGGCTCGCCGCCAGGGGGGCTGGCCGCGAAGAGGCCCGCCCTGGGCGGCGACGGCCGTCGCACACGCGCACGGCGATTCACTCCCGAGCCCGACCCCAAACGATCCGATGGAGGGCGTCCGGGAGCGGGGCGTGGAGGAGGGGGGTGAGCCAGTCACAGCCTGGGGCATGCTCGCGAACCAGTGTGAGGGCTGGCGGACGTGCTGAAGAAATATTTTCCCGACCCCTAGTCGTCACTCCCCTCTTGGTCCACCCCCCCCTCCTCCTCCTTCTCCTCCTCCTCCTCATCATCATCATCAGCATCATCATCAGCATCATCATCAGCAGCAGCATCATCAGCATCATCGTCAGCATCCTTATCATCCTCATCATCAAAAGCATCCTAATAAGAGTCAGTATAACAATACATAAAACTGCGATTAAAAGGAATAATAATGACAATAATACTACAACTAACGAATAAGAATTATGATAATAAAAATAGTACTAACAACACTAAAAATATTAATACTACTGATAATAATAATAATGATAATGATAATGATAATAATAATAATATACTAATAATAATACTAATACTAATAATACTAATAATGATAATAATACTAATAGTAGTAATAGAAAACAATAATACTAATATAACAACAACGATAAAGTAACAGTAATAACATAATCAATAATAATAATGATACTAATAGCGATAACAATCATCAACGCTACCATCATTATCATCCTCATCATCCTCATCATCATCATCATCATCATCAGAAGCAGCATCATCAGCAGCAGCATCATCAGCAGCATCATCATCATCATCATCATCATCATCATCATCATCATCATCATCATCATCATCATCATCATCATCATCATCATCATCATCATCATCATCATCATCATCATCATCATCATCATCATCAGCAGCAGCAGCAGCAGCAGCAGCAGCAGCAGCAGCAGCACAGCAGCAGCATCATCATCATCATCATCATCATCATCATCATCATCATCATCATCATCATCATCATCATCATCATCATCATCATCATCATCATCATCATCATCATCATCATCATCATCATCATCATCATCATCATCATCATCATCATCATCATCATCATCATCATCATCATCATCATCATCATCATCATCATCATCATCATCATTACCACCACCATCATCAGCAGCATCAAGCATCATCATCCTTGCCCTCCTCCCCCCTCCCCCTTCGCCCCCGTCGGTGGAGCGCAAAGGCGTACGCCCCCCTGCCGAAAGCAAATACTGCTGCTCCCCGAAAGCAACGTTCTCAAAGACCAACCTCCTCCGCCTCCTCCTCCTCCTCGCTTTCGGCGACCTCGCCCGCCCGCGCCTGCGGCGCAAGCGGCCTACGTCTGCGCGGGCGGGGCCGGAGGCAGCACGATTCCGGTCGCGATGGTTGCGTGCCTTCGCCGGCGGGCGGGCGGCGGGCGGAGGAGGACGGAGGGGGACGGAGAAGCACGGAGGAGGTAAGGAGGAGGAGGAGGAGGAGGAGGGCCGCGGCGGAGGAGGAGGAGAGGGGGAGGAGGAGGACGAGGAGAAGGAGGAGGAGGAGGAGACAGAGGAGGATGAAAAAACGAGGGGGGGAGCAGCGAGGAGGATGAGGAGGAAGGGGGAGGTGGAGCGAGGAGGACGAAGAGGACGAGGAGGACGAGGAGGAGGAGGAGGAGGAGGAGGAGGAGAAGGCGGCGGAGGAGGAGGGGGGAGCAAGGACGAGGATCACCAAGCTAGCTAAACGTATAAAGGATGCCTAGAGCCATCTTGAGAGACGAAGCAGCCATCGGCGAAGTACTGGAGAGACGGTGGGGCAGCCTGCGGCAGGTCCGTGCTGCCCGAGGCCAGAGGGGCAGAGAGGAGAGGAGAGGAGGGGGAGAGGGACCAGAGCAAACCCCAGATGCATCGACGAGGCTGCAACACACCGTCCCGTCTCAAGTCCCCTCCCCGTCTCTCCTCCTCCTCCTCCTCCTCCTCCTTCTCCTCCTCCTCCTCCTCCTCCTCCTCCTCCTCCTCCTCCTCCTCTTCCTCCGCCACTGCGCGAGCGCCTCTCCCTTGAAGGAGGAGCGCTCCGTGAGCCCGCAGTGCAGGCGGGGGACTCCGCACTTGGAGGGAACCGCCGCCCATCCATTCGAGCTATGCCAGACAGGCGCGGTCCACGACTCGCAAAGTCACTACAGTCGGGGCGTTTGACCTCAGGAACCCAAAATAAGAAACGAGGCCCCTGTTTTCCAAAAGTTAACCTTCGATTCCATATCGAAAACCTAAGGAAAACCTGAGGCAAGCTGCGAAACACGTAAGGAACACGGAGCCCCTCCCCAACGAAAAGGGTTCCTTAGTCAGCGCCCCGACTGTATGCCAGACAGGCGCGGTCCACGACTCGCACTGTCACTACTCGCAAATGGCCTGGATCGGCTGCGGAGGACTTACGATCCAATGCGTCGGTGCAGACGTGTTTTGTTCCGGACGCTTGCGAGCAGAAACTGCGCGGTTAATAGAACGCGCAGGGTAATAGAAGGGATGCGACATTTTGAGGTTTAGGAATTCGAAAGAAGTTCCTGGCCGACAGCCCCACATCCGTAGGCTGCTGCACATGCTGCACCCTCTTGCCATCGCCGTGTACAGTCGGACCGGGGACAGAAGACCGTCCTTCAAGAACATGAGACCCGCCACCGGCCAAAACACCCCAAACCTTAAGATCATGTGAAGGTACCCCTCACCTAGGATGCATAAGAAAACACACTGAACATCCTAGGGCACCCTCCCCAGATTACACAAGAACATCCAACAGACACGAAGAACATTAGGGGACCCTCCCCGAACCGACCTCGATCTTGCACCTCGGTCCGCCTGCACCTGTTGCACATGTTTGAACTTGCGGAGGCGTTGCCAAAGAAGTCTCAAGCGAGAAAGCCATCTCGAAAACGTGCCCGCCTCCATCCGTGCGAGTGCTCGAAAAGCTGAAAACAAATTCACGCGGCGCTCAAGCGAGACCAACATTTTGAAAAAGGTTGGCCCTCTATCCGTGCCAGTGGAGTCTTTAAGCGCTGGGATAGCACAAAGCAAAAAAGTCGCAAGCGAAATGCCCAGCCCAGTCAAGGGACACGTCTGGCGATGCGACAGGGAGGAGTTAGCCATCAAAGCGAGAGGACAGACTGGTCTAACACCTCTCCTGACTGCGTGCCTGAAGTAAGCTTCCGCGGTCAGGATTCCTGTGGTTGTGTGTTGTGTTTGCTTGTTGTTTGTTTGTTGTTTGTTTTTGTCGTCGCCTTCGCCCGCGACCCGCCCAACACCCATCTGCGATGCGCCCGCGAACCGCCCGCGACCCACCCGCGATCCACCCGCGACGCAACCGCGACCCACCCACGACCCACCCGCACTGCTTTGACGAAAATCCGTCGCCTGCGCTACGAAAGGCCTAGAACATCGGCACCTGCGCCGGGCTGAGGCTGCCAATGACCCCGTTGCCCGTTCACTCCGATTCACAACTGCGGAAGACCACGATAAGGAAAAAGGGCGGAGGAGGAGGAGGAGGAGGAAGAGCGAGGAGCGAGGAACGAGGAGGGGACGAGGAGGGGGAAGATGGTGAGACGGGGAAGGAAGAACGAGGAACGATGAGAGGGCGAGGGAGGGCGAGGAACAAGGAACGAGGAGGGGGCGAGGAGGGGGCGGGGAGAACACGAGGAGGAGCAGGGGGGGCTTGCCTGTAGTACCTGCCCAGGTCCTTGTCGTCGCGGAACGCAAGCTGGATATGCCGCGGCAAGATGATTGGCCCCCTTTTGTTGCTCTTCTTGCGCCGTGGTCGGCCGGCCAGCCACACGAACGGCCCTGGGGCCATGACACCCTCGCGTCCGGTAGCACGCAGGACCCCCTCCGGTGTTTATACATTTGTTTAACCAAACACAAAAACAAGAGATCCCACCAGCCCTCTGGACGTAGGTGGTTTAGAGAAGCTCCTTTTTCCGACCCCCTTTCTTCCCTTTCGGGGAGGGGTTTCCCCCTACCCCCTCCCCAGGGGCGCCCCGCGAGCGGTCACATCATGTAAGATGGCCCAAGACGACCCCCACAAAAACACCATCGACCCACGAAACAGAAAAGAAATTGTAGATATGCGAAGCATGGCACCGTTTTCAAGACACCTGTTTGGGCGACGAAGGACTGCAATGCTGAAGCGGTCGATCCTGATGTACCGTGCGAAGGGTTGCGCTGTGCTGCGCCGTGTTAGAATTAGATGTGGCATGCCACGATGACTTGCGCTGTGCTCTTGCTCTATACATCGTTGTGGACCTAGTCGCTCCTTGGTATCCGAATCCAAACCGAACTGACATGGATCCTAAGCTCGAGCTGCATGAGCGCACAGCTAACCCATAGCAGCTTGCAGTCGAAACGCGTGGGACGCTCAATCAGCTCGAGTTCACGATCCGCCTCAGCTCCGAGGCGGGACGAGACGACGCGGGGCGCAGGGCACATGGACGCGCCACGGGATGTACCGAGGGCGCGCCAGGAAATACGGCAGGCGACGCGTCAGGGGACGCGTCAGGGGACGCGCCGTGGACGTGCCAGGGGCCTGCCACGGGGCGCGCGAAGGTGCTTGCCACGGGATGAACCAGCGGACGCCATGACAGGGAACGCCCCAGGAACGCCCCAAGGGGACGCGGCAACGGACGAGCCAGAGGACGCGGCAAAGGACGCGCCACGCAACGGGCAGGGGGAGCGCCAGGGGACAGGCCAGGGAACGCGAGAGAGGACGAGCCAGGGGACGCGCCACAGAACAGGCCGAAAGGCGCGCCAGCGGGCGCGCCCGGGGGCGCCGCGCCAGGGGTCGTCGCAGGGGACGCGCCAAGAGACGCGCCAACGCGCAAGGTGACGCTTCATGGAACGCGCCGGAAAAAAAAAAAAAAAAAAAAAAAAAAAAAAAAAAAAAAAAAATGCGCCCGCGGGCGAAATTACACATGGCTTCGGCACACGGGCAACATGAACCTGCGAATCCGATCGCAAGAGGAAAACACGGTTCCGACTTGCCCTCCGCGCCGAGGGCCAGAGGGGCCCGCGCCGCCCGGGGCCCGTCAAAGCCAAAAGGTGGCTGCGGGACGCAGCCTCAAACCCACGCAACGCCTAGGCACCATGGCCTTCGCGGGCCCTGACGGGGGGGAACTCCGGGGAGAAACACGTTCGCACTGGTCTCAAGCACTGGTGTCACGTGCTCTTCACACGATGAGCGCTCCATCGCCCGCGCACGACCCTCGCCCCACAGCGCGCCCACATGGCCGGCGTGGGCTAGCATCTCGGGCACGAAGTCCTGGTCGATCGGGCCGCCCGGGGTAGCACTGCAGCTCGAAATCCACGTTTGACATGACGGACTGGATGGGGCCGCAGAGCGCGTCTTCGCCTGGCAAAATCTGTTCGCCGCAACTGTTTTCCGACATCGTCTGCTTCTTGGCCCTCTCGACCATGCCGCGGAAGAGCTGGTCGATGGCGACTTGATAGGGGGGCCCCAGTTTGCGGATCTCCGGGCAGCCTGGCCACTCGGCGCACAGCCTCTCCAGATGCACCAGCTTCTCCTTCACCCCGTCCTCCAATGACGCGGTCGACATCACCTGGACACCCCTGGCGTCGCTCACGAACTGCAGCGCCCCTGCCGCGCGGTCCTCTCGCGCCGCGGCTAGACGCGGGATCGATCTGACTGGCCTCCCGATCTCGGCCCGAGCCACCGCCTCTACGCGAGTCGACTGCCTGGGAGAACGCCCGCCGAGTCAAGCATGAACGCCCTCGCCCGCTCGCCCAACCCCGCTACCTCGAATTGCACTATGTGCGAGGCCGAGAGGCTGCTCTGGGGCTGTTCGGCGGAGGGCTCCGACCGGCTGGCGCGGCGAACTCGCCTGCGAGCTGATAATTACGCGCAAGCACTGAAGCACGCTCGCAATGGATCGGCGGCCTCTGCTCGATCCATACTCAACGCGTCACCGAGCATGAGCTCCAACGTAACCCACCACAACGTAGCCCCCATCCTCCAGAGACCCCCCATTGCATAAGCAATATCTACCGAATCCATGTTGTCATCGAGCCACGCGGGGGGCCCTGGTTTCGTCGCGCGGTCGAACACCGACGCGCAGTCGATCTCGCTCGCAACCGAGCACGTCTGCACATACCTATATCGCGTCTCCAAGCAGAACATGGGATACAAAGCAGCCGCAGACGCACAAGCGGCATTCCTGGCGGCCCCAAGACGCCGCCAATACCTTCCTCCGCCAGAGTAGACGAGACGCGCAGCCCGGTTTGATCTTCAGGGAATCCAAACCAGAGAGCCAGCAACCCAATCGCCATCGTCGAACTCGTCGCCCGATGACATGCCTCCCCCTGAACCCTTCCAGCCCCGTCCAAGTCCTTCGGCGAATAGTCCGAATGGCACGCGAATCGAAGCTTTTCAGGAAGGGCAAAGAGAGACGCGATTGAAATCTCCCGCGCTGGTTCGGTCGCCGAAAAAATTCGAATGTCGAATCTGTTCTACCGTCGGATTCGGCATAATCTGTCGAGCGAACGATGTCTGGAAACTCAGGTCGGGTCTCGTCTGTCCTGCCAACGAATTTCCTTGCTGCGCGGTAGAGACGCGCTTGTGGATCTAAACGGCTGCGCAAGGCCATCGGGCTCGGCGGCGCGACGGGTCTTCGGTGGCGCGATTCCCATCGGCATGTGCCGACTGAGGCTGCACCATGGAGTAATCTGACCGGCGGGTGGGCACCGATCCCGTTAACTCTCCTGGGCCCGCCCTCACATGCGATAGGGAAACGCCACTCGCGACTTATCTATGGCCCACGGCCACCGTCGGCCTGGCCGTTGACATGCACGCCCAGGATACAGCACAGAGCCCAGGGCTCGCCTCGCAAATGATCGCGAGCCTGGCTCGCCGCGAACGGGTTCACGGATATCCGTTCACGCCGGACCTGGGGCTCGGCACCCTCGGTCACCAAAACACGCAGAAGACGCGCGCTCGAGCCCATCGGATGCTGCTCGAACTTGAGCCCCTCCAACATAATCCGCTAAACTGCACGCCGACTCTGCGGCTGGCTCCCCCGGCCGCGTCCGTTCATCACCTCGAACACCTGGGCTGAGCGCGCGCCCACCAGCATCGTCACGTAGAGCGGCCCGTTCGGTCGCGCCTCGAACTCCGCCTCCAGAAACGCCGACTTCACCGATCGCCATCCCGAATGCGCACGAGGCGACGATCGGCAACAGCACGGCTCGCCCGCCCACGACCGCGACGGGGCGCGAGGTCCGACCCTCACGCACCCAATCGAGGACGCCCAAGTCCTCGGCGCCTTGCAGCGCGCACCAGCACTGCAGCTCCTCGCGAGCACAAGCCGAGGTGCAGCGCACATTCGGGCACATGGGCCCGCAGGAGCCTGGACTTCTCCAAGTCGACTGGCTGCCTGGCCTTCATGTCCCACACTGAACTCGCCATCTCATTCGCGCGCGCGCTCGATCTCGGCATCGCCTTCCACCCCCCCCCCATTCAAGTTCAGCTTCTCGCTGTGCTGGGCCAGCGAGACGCCCGCCGCTCCAACGATCACATCCGCGCCCGCGCACTCCGCCAGACGCTCCTCCGCTGAGTCGGCCGGAGGGGCACTCGGCATACTCGGGGATCACATGACGCCGTAGACCTGCTGTCGCGGCTGCGCTCTGTTCTTCGCCCTGGACCTCCTCGCGCCCTCGTCATCCTCGATGTCCCCCGCGATGACCCTCTGGCCGGGGCACGGGACTCCCGCGGCGCGCTCGCCGCCCAAGAGGGCCGCCCCGCCCGCGACGCGTCTGCCACCTGTGGGGCGCTGCGCCCCCTCATCGCCACGCCCCCCTACTTCTCGTTAGCTGGCCCCGTCCTCCGCTCGAGGTTCAGCGGATTTGGGATCGAGCGGCGCAGCGGCACCCCCCCCCCACCCTTGGGGGTCTCTCGCCGCCCGCGATGCCCTCGAAACGCAGCCCGCTGAAATGCCCTGGGCCGACGAGCTCGGCGCGCGGCCTGGCCTCCGCCATTCCCGCGCGCGCCATTCCTCGCGCGCAGCTGGCCTCATTTGCCCTGGCGACACCTTGGTCACCGACCCCGATGGCGCGATCCAGCAGTCGCCGCAAACCTCGCCCACGCAGATGCCTGGGATCCACTTGCGATGAGCTCGTCGGCCAGGGATACCCTTGTCCTTCAACATCCTCTCCTCGCAGGCACTTGACCGCAACCCTGGGCCTCGCGTCGAATGACCCTGTAGTAGCGGGCTTATCCTGCTGCGTGAGCACCTTCATCCGGGCGACGGTTCGAATGCGACTCTGACGTGCATCCACAGGGAATTTACCACCGCGCCTTTCAAGATGACGCCTGGATTGTCCTGCGCGGGGTCACCTGGGATCTCTGGGTCGCGCCCGAACGACAGCTGCATCGGAAATGCGCCCGTCGCCAAGAGCATGCCAATCATGGCGAAGACCAGCTCTGCCACGCACTCGCGCCACCCCGCCTCCGTCTGCGGCCGTGCCTCCGCGGCGCCCCCCTCGAGCATCTTCTCGAAGATCTGGCTGCGGCATTCGATTTCTCCGTTCTGCCCCTTGGCCCTAGCTGCGGCGCCCACCGCCTCGATCCGACGCAAGCACCAGTGCAAGAACTCACCGCTCGCTTGAGCGCGACGCGGATTCGCCCTCCGCCATCGAGGCGCACGCACGGGCGCGCCCACGCCTGCGTAAACTTGTCCGCAGGGTTGGTCTAGGTCGCTGCCGCGTCGACATGCTGATCCACCTGACGCGGCGAGCTCGTCTCGCCAATTATCCCCGGACTGTTACCCTTTCCCTTGAGATCCAGCTGGGCATGTCTCCGCAGCCCACGATCACGCATCTCGGGGGTAGACGGGCATCTGCGGGGGCGTCGCGGCGAACAGCTCTCGGGAAAAGCACGCCCCCGCACTCTGGACCGCAAAACTCGCAGGCCCACCTGATCGCTTGGACCGCGGCGCGCGCCAGATGAGGATCCCCTGGCGGCGCGCGGTTCACGCAGAGGCCGAGCTGCACGCGCAGCCTCCGTAGACTATCCCAAATTGAACTGCGAGGCCAGCGCGAGACATCCCGCCCCGCACCTGCTATATCCTCAAAATCCTATATCTGCTCCTGCACTGCACATTGCGCCGACCCCCTCCGATCCTACCTGCGCGCCGCTGGCCGGTCAATCCTGCCCCGATTTCTCGCATCATCCTCGGGGGGCACAGCTGACTGCACACCGCCCTCTCGACGCTGGGCCATTGTAAGCCTCGAGCACGCCGACGTTCGCGAGCGCCTCTGGGGCCGACGCCGCAGAGCCACAGCACTCGGGCGTCAGTTCGAAGGCGTCCGGGCGCCGCAATCCGACTTCGCATCCGCCGGCACAGCGTGAAAACACGCCTCACAGGTTCCGCAGCGCCACCATCACTTGAACTTTGTGGCCCTGGATTCTCGAGGGCGCCTCGCACGCGACACGTCAGCCGCGCCCCAACTGATCCGGCACCGCCCCCATGACAATGCGAACCAATCCAACAGCCCTCCGTACATCACCACGGCGTCACTCGATGCCCACCCGCCCCCCCCCCCCCCCCCCCCCCCCAGCGGGCAACACTGCTGCGCGGCGGGCAACTTCCTGCTCAGGGGGGGGCCCACGATCACACAGCACGGCTGGTCCTCGACGATATGCCTGCACATCTCCGCGTGGTCCGCTGGCCTGCCCACATCCCAGCCCGTCACTCTGTCCAGACCTACGCCTTCCTTGAAGCCCCTCTTCGCCACCTCTGGCACCACGCGCGGCGGGGGGGGCAGCTCCGCAATCAGCATCCTAGCCTGCGGGCTACGCCCCGGCCTTGAGGAGAGTTGGGGCCGGCCGCTCGCGCCCGTCGACGAGGCCCGCCACCCGCTCCGATGGCATCTCGACCTGCCGCCCGACTGCATCGCTCAGGTTCTCGCAACGCCGAGCCACCCTCTCAATCAGGGGGGATCGCCACGTCCAACTCCTCCAGGCGCAGCGCGTCCGCGTCGAGGTTGATCACGCCCCCCAGCGCCCCCGACTGCTGCACGCAGCCATCGAACCCGCGGAACCACATCGGCTTCACACACTTCGCCCTTCTGACATTCCGGCCTGACGCCGCCACGCGACGAGTCAAAGTCACAGTGCCCTACGAAGGGGCTTCGAACATCCCGTGCCTGGCGCCGCGCGCCCCTCAGCGTGGGCCACGAGAAAAGCCCCTTTTCGTCCTCGGGCGGGGCATAGCACACCTCGCGCGCCAGCCCATTCCATCCAGCGCGCCTGCTGAATGAGCTGCGACAGCACGCCGTCCTCAAGGACCTTCAGGACGGCCACAATCTCAACGTCGACCTGGTCTCCCTCGTCGTCGACGTCGCACTTGCTGACGGCATGCAAGTCCATCACGTCATCGGACTCCTCGAAGACCGAAACGTTCTGGGCACCTGGGGGGGGCGCCTTGTTGCCCTGGCACTGCCTGCTGAAATTCCCAGCCTCGTGGCACTTGAAGCACTTGACCCGATGCCCCGCGCGGTCGAGATCCTGCTTGCGGGGACCGCCCTGCCTGTTGTCACCAAGCCTTGGTTTCCATCCCAGTCGTAGACCTATCTAGCTTTCCCTTGGTCGTTACCATCCTGGCCTGCCTTCACGTCGCCAGGATCTCCGCAGCGTCCGCCTCGTCAATGGGCCCCGCTGCCTGCACGAACGCATCGATGTCCTGGGTGACTTCATCCTGTCCGTTTATCTCCACGTATGTGTCGTACTCGTCCTCACTGTCGTCTCCCTGCTCTTCGAACGCCGACTGGGTCAAGCGCTCTGGAGGTACTCCGGGGAAGGCCGTCTGCATCGCAACGCACACCTCGTCCACATGCCGACCACTGTGCGCAGCTGACATGATGATAGCCCTGCCGAAATTGCCCTAAAGCGCTCCTCGCACAATCAGAGGCAACCGTGCGCAACTGGCGGCAGTTCGACGCCTTCTTTGATCAGCTTCGCGTGCACCAGCCTCGCTCGACCTGTGAAAGCCACCGTGGTCTTATGCTTGTGGATCTTGAAACTGAACGCCTGTTCCATCGTTTCTCCAAGTCGGCATGCTGCAGCTTTATCCAGGAAGCGTCCCTTGAACGTCTCGAACACCACGTCCTCACCGAACTCAACATTGATATCAACGATGTCCAAATTCTCCACTGCCAACGCCGCCACACCGTCAAGCAGAGTGTACAGCCACGGGCCGAAGGCTTCTGCTGGGGTGCCCTTCGCCCTCTGGATCACGACAACCGCCTTGGACCACCTCTTCCAGATCTTGTACGCACCAGTTCCGTCGCTGCCATTCCCTGAAAAACGCTTCTGGCTTGAACTGCCAACGCTGGTCCCGTTTGCCATGGCTGCACGGCCGAAAGCTGGCACTGGTGGTCTCCAACAAGCTCGTGCTCTGCCGCTGCTCCTCCGCTCGCTGCACTGGCTCGAACCACCTTGAGAATCCCATCACCAGAGGAGTCGAGCACGGCTCTGCTTTCCCTGCCTCGCCGAGGGCTAGATGAGCCCACGCTCCCCGCGCGCGGCCTGTCAAAGCCAAACGGTGGCTGCGGGATGCAGCTTCAGACACACACACACACACACACACACACACACTCACACGCACACATTTGTCAGCCGGCGGCGCAGGGGGTCCTCAAGCGCGAGCAGCAGATGGAAGTGCGATTTGCGATCGAGCGCAATCGAGAGCACAGTGAACGAGACGTCGAACACTGGGATACAAGCGATGGGTGGTGGACTAGAGGGCCACACACACACTTGTACGTCGCAGCGCGGCAGAAACAGTTCGCACGCGCGCTCGGCAAGCTGGGAGACGGCGTTGCTACTTGGCCCGGGTGCAACGAGGAGGACGAGACAGAGGCGGCCGGGGCATCGGGGCCCTTGGCGGGCCTCTCCGAGGGGGAGGCTCCAGGGAGGACAAGGTTCACAGAACCATGTAACAAAAACACATGGTTTGAGCTCACGGGCGAGTGGAATCCATGTAAGAACACATGGTTTGGGCTCACGGGCGAAAGGAACTCATGCAAAAACACACGATTTGGGTTCAAGGGCAACGAAAACAATATAAATGCATACCGTTTGGGCTCTTGGGGCCTCCTTGGACCTCCTGCGACCTTCTGGGCGCTCCCAGGGCCTCCTGGGGCCTCCTGGGACCGCACCACGGAACGGGCAGGGGCCACGCAAAAACACAGGACTTGGACTCACGGGCAAAAAGGACCCATGTAAAAACACATGGTTTGCGCCCACGGGCGAAAGGGGCCCATTCAAAAACTTGAGCTCACAGGCGAACGGAACCCATGTAAAACACATGGAGTTGGGCTCACGGCCGCAACGAAGGCATGTAGATACGCAGCACCCCGCAGATGCGGATAAGAGTGAAGGGGCGATGGGGACGTCGGCAGTCTGCGAGACTCTGGAGAAGCCCGCCGCAGGCGCCAAAATTTCACGAATTATCAGAATGAGGGGGCTGAACCGAACGGTCATTCACTGTCCCTGAGTGCGTGGCTGAAGTGGAATTCCGCGATGCGGATTCGTGTTCTTGTTGGTGTTGTTGTTGTTTGTTGTTTGTTGTTTGTTGGTTGTTGTTTGTTGTTTGTTGCTTGTTGTTTGTTGCTCGTTGTTTGTTGTTTGTTGTTTGTTGTTTGTTGTTTGTTGTTTGTTGTTTGTCGTCGTCCCACCCGCGACCCGCCCCGCGACCCGCCCCGCGACCCGCCCCGCGACCCACCCGCGACCCACCCCGCGACCCACCCGCGACCCACCGGCGACCCACCCGCGACCCACCCGCGACCCACCCAGCGACCCACCCGCGACCCACCCGCGACCCACCCGCGACCCACCCGCGACCCACCGCCACCAACCCGCGACCCACCCGCGACCCACCGCCACCCACCCGCGACCCACCCCGTGACCCACCCAAAATTTTCGGCGCCTGCGGGCTTCTTGTGCATTCGTTCCAGGTGGAGAACCTGCGACCCGCCCGCGACCCAAACCGCGTTCAGTGTACAGATCAAAACTTTCGGCGCCTGCGGCGGGCTGTTTTTGAATTCCTTCCAGGTGACGGTGGAGAGCCCGCGACCCACCCGCGACCCAAACTACGTTCACTGAACAAGCCAAAACTTCGGCGCCTGCGGTGGGTTTCCTTTGCATTCGTTCCAGGTGGAGAACCTGCGACCCAAACCGCGTTCAGTGTACAAATCCAAATGTTCGGCGCCTGCGGCGGGCTGTTTTTGAATTCCTTCCAGGTGACGGTGGAGAGCCCGCGACCCAGACTACGTTTACTGGACAAGCCAAAACTTCGGCGCCTGCGGCGGGTTTCTTGTGCATTCGTTCCAAACGGAGGAGGAAAAGGAGGAAGAGGAGGAGGAGGAGGAGGAGGAGGAAAAGGAGGAAAAGGAGGAAGAGGAGGAGGAGGTGGAGGAGGAGGAGGCGGACGACGACGACGACAACGATGAGGACGAGGACGCGGACGAGGAAGAGGAGGAGGAGGAGGAGGAGAAGGAGGAGGAGAAGAAGGGCGCCATCAACAGGGAAGGTGAGGGCCACGAGGTCCGCCGGCTCGACGCCCGCGTCACCCGCGCCCGCACCCTTACTCTTATCCGCAATTGCGGGGTGCTACATACAACGAGCCCGCCGCAGGCGCCGATTTTTCTTCAAACCAATGTGGATCGGTCGCGGGTGGGTCGCGGGTGGATCGCAATCAGGTCGCGGGTGGGTCGCGGGTGGGTCGCAAGTGGGTCGCGGGTGGGTCGCGGGTGGGTCGCGGGTGCGTCACGGGGTGGGTCGCGGGTGGGTCGCGGGGTGGGTCGCGGGTGGGTCACGGGGTGGGTCGCGGGGTGGGTCGCGGGGTGGGTCGCGGGGTGGGTCGCGGGGTGGGTCGCGGGGTGGGTCGCGGGGTGGGTCGCGGGTTGGGTCGCCAGGTGGGTCGCGGGGTGGGTCGCGGGTGGGGCGCGGGGGGACGACGATAACAAACAACAACAACAACAACAACAACAACAACAACAACAACAACAACAACAACACCAACAGCAACAACAGCAACAACAACAACAACTATCATTTTAAGACTGATCGCTCTTACTTGCCCGCGTGACATGCAA